AGAGTCACAGATGGTTACATCAAACAAGAAAATGTTTATACGGATCTTCCTTCATTGATCAGTAAAATCAATGATTGCAAAAACGAACAAGAAGCCATAGCGCTTGTCTATCATGGCAACGTGGTTGATTTCTGGGAAGCAGCTGTAAAACTTGATTTAAAAGTAGAATTGGGATCAGATCAAACATCGTTACACAATATTGATGATCTGGGTTACTGCCCTGTAGGTTATAGTTTTGATGATGCTAAAAAATTGCTGGCAAAAGACAAAGACAAATTCATGACCGAAGTACGTAAAACACTGGTCAGACATGTAAAAGCTATCAATACACTAGCTGAAAAAGGTATGTACTTCTGGGATTATGGCAATGCATTCCTCAAAGAAGCTGGTGAAGCAGGAGCTGATATTTGGAGAAATAAAAAACTAAAAACATATAAATATGCATCCTATGTAGAAGATATCATGGGACCAATGTGTTTTGATTATGGATTCGGTCCGTTCAGATGGGTATGTCTTTCAGGCAAAACTTCAGACCTGTACAAAACAGATAAAATAGCTGCTAAAGTCTTAATCAAATTGTACAAAAAAGCACCTGAAGAAATTCGTGGACAGCTCAATGACAACATCATTTGGATAGAAAGTGCTAGGAAAAACCTACCTATTGTGGGTTCGAAATCTAGGATATTGTATGCTGATGCAGAAGGTAGGATAGAAATAGCCCTTGCATTTAACAAAGCCATAAAGGATGGTGTCATCAAAGGGCCAATTGTGCTCGGAAGAGATCATCATGATGTGTCAGGGACAGACTCACCTTATAGAGAGACATCCAATATCTATGATGGATCCAAATTTACAGCTGATATGGCAGTGCAGAACTTTGTGGGAGATTCTTTCAGAGGAGCCACTTGGGTATCATTACATAATGGTGGCGGTGTAGGTTGGGGAGAAGTCATAAATGGTGGATTCGGCATGGTGATAGATGGCAGCAAACAGTCCAAAAAGAACATCAAGTCCATGTTGCATTGGGATGTCAATAATGGTATCGCACGAAGGAGTTGGGCTAGAAATGATGAAGCCATATTTGCCATCAAAAGAGCCATGGAACAAAATGAACATCTAAAAGTCACTATTCCCAATCTTGCGGAAGATGCGCTGATAGACAAAATCATCAAATAAGATGCTCGAAAAATGCCGAATTCTGTATAAAGGGGACATGATCGCTGGAAGTTTTTACGTTTTTGTAGGACTTATCCTGTTGTTATTTGCCGCCATCTTACATTATTTTACAGAGTCTCTCGGGTATCAATATTTGGCTATAGGATTTTTATGTAATATGTAGTGTGAATAGTTGGTTAATGTTCCTTCTAATAGGGTAGCCAAAAACATTTTG